TCGAGGTCCCCGTCCTCGCCATGGCCGCCCCCGCCTACGCCCCCGTGCACCTGCTCCCCCTGATGGCTCTCGCGGCGCTGGTGAGTGGGCCCCGAACGCGCTCGGCGAACGACAAACGAACCAATTATGACGAATGATTCATTGTTTCCGTTTTTTAATTATCGTAGGCGATATCAAACCCGTAGTTGTGGAATAATGATATGTAAAATCAAATTGTACTCTATGTAATATTATATTTTATAGAAGACTTGGATTAATATTCCCGGTGATTAACTGTATTCATGTTTCCTAATGTTATTTATACCATTAATGTTAATATTACCTATTTATGTTTTGTCCCCTGACAAACCAATACCTTTGAATTGAATTAATGCCTTATTTTACGTGGCGAGACTCGGGCCATCAGGCCCGCTCTTCCGTCTGACCACGCAAATTTCGCTACGCTCCTTTCACCAACTACCAAAGGAAGGAAGTATTTCTTGGGCGACGAAACAGACGATTTTTGAATTTATCTCAGACGCATCATTTAGGCGTGAGTATCTTTCACATGCAAGTAAATCTACTAACATGGGGAAGCCGGCTTTACTTCTCCGAAGGAAGGCGTACGAAGGATTTTATCGCTTTAATCGGTTTTAAACCCGCCAACTTGGGTATACCAATCCGATACGCTAACCGTTACACCATCGCCGCATGCATACCTTCTAGTGAAAATGTTTGAGATCATAAATAAATGTACCCCACAATACCATACAATTGGCATGATAACTGTATGATAATTAAAAGAGAAATGATGATACCATAGAATTCCAATTAAAATACAAACTGTACCATTTTTTATTCATGATAGTGGAACCAAGAAAATAAAAACACATTAAAAGAGAATTTAGAGCGAGAAGATAAATCAAGGAAGAGAAAGTAGAGAGAGAACCGATTCGGACTAAATTTCTTAATGAATTGTCTTGAACAATCCATGGGCTACCATGTATGTGATATTACAGAAATGTATAATTAGAAATTTAACTATCACTAAATGTTCAGACATTTGTGTTTTGCTGTTAAAGTAATGAAGGAATTAAGCATTTAGAATTTCGAAAAGCACGCCTATTACTTTGGAAACGTACTGTGGAATCTAATATACATGTGTACCACATGTGTTACTTAAATTTAAATACTGTGTTAAATACACAACTTACAGCACATTGTGGTTAGTAGCATATTCGTGTATCACACAGCTTTGAATTGTTTCTCAAACACAACAAATTATATGTATATTCTTATTAAAAATCTATAAACGTACACTTGACATGAAGCCGTTAAAACAATAATATCATTAATTAAAATAAGTAGTTATATTATCTTTGCCGTTATTCAATCGTTTCTGATCTGAAAAATGTTTTCTCTTGCATACCACTTTTCTGATAGTTAACAACCTTCTACTACCATTTATGATTTTCCCCATTAAACAAGAGAACTATTTTGTGTTTGATAATATTTATCAGAATATTGCCTTGGAATATTCAAGAAACTACGTACTTCAATATCAAAGGAGAATACAAATAAGTCTTTTGAAGTGTCTTTCTTATCATTTACAAAAATTTACCTCATATATAACGATGAGTACAAATTGAGTCAGCAGGCCCCATCATTATTTTTCCCAGAGAACTTTTTTCTTACCTCACAAGTAGGTTTTTCCAATATTACAATTATCGGACGAACTGTAAATATATTAATTAATTTGTGCATAAATTAATGTTTATGTTAGTAGCTTCGATTCAACGGTCAAAACAATTACTGAAAAAACGCTATCTCTTTAAATTAAATCTTGTAATCTATTACACGTTACTATTATAAAAGTCCGTTTGTGGTAATTGAGTTGACGATTTGCTTATTTTATCGTTGGCGAGACTCGGGCCATCAGCCCGCTTCTTCCGTCTGAAATTTCCTACGCTCCTTTCACCAACTAGTGGAGAGCAAGGAGGTATTTCGTTGGGCGAGAAACAGGCGATTTGATTTAGTCGAGAGGCGTCATTTAGCTTGAGGAATCTTTTACATGCAAAATAAATCTACCAACATGGCGACAGCCGCTTTACTTCTCGATAGGACAGGCGTATGAAGGATTTTTTCGCACCCTTAAAAATGCACGGCTTTGAACCCGCCAACTTGGGTACAACAGTCCAGTACGCTAACCGTTACACCATCGCCGCCGGTAATGGTTCGGGATCACAAAATACTTTTTTCTTGTGTTGAAGAATGACCATTTCACTTCCTAAAATTGGTGTCACAGTTGCGATAAAAGAGTCCTTTCAAATAAAATTTGAAGAAGTTGAAGATAAGAATATCAAAAGAACTCTCAAGTAATTTAGGTGAAGACAACCGCAAAAATCAATTAATTCTGTACCTGTAAATTGTATGTAAATCTTATCATTTAGGACAATGCAGTTTCAACGATTCCGTGACTAGCGATGCGCGTCATTACGAGGACGATAACAGAGCTGACTCAGCACTTCGACTAACCCAACCCAGGTGAAGATTATATTTTAATTTTTATGTTGCTCTTGGGGAACTTATTTCCGTTCTTTACCGCGTGGCATTTAAACCCCCTATCGACATTTTTTTCTTTCTTGTCTGTACGTAAGACCTTACATCACAATCTATTTAACGAATCGGCTATTATTACTCCTTTGCAGTTCCTACGCATCTCTCATCTATTCACAATCCTTCTACCACTATTCGCTAATAGAGAGTGAAACCTAACTAAGGAAATATCTTCATTCTTTTTTGCTTCACGAAATTTCGTGAAGATCGAAGTGTTACCAAGACATCTTTTTTGATAAATACAACTTTATTGACTAAATTACATATATTTTTGCTCAGAGTACAGCAGTTCAACTTTCCGCAGTCTGCGCCAGAAAACAGCTCAAAACATACCAATCTCACGCTGTATCAAATTGAACCTCTCTCTGCCAATAAAATTATTACTGTCTCCATAATATGTTCTTGTTTATACTATTCTGACATAATCACTGATTTACAGTGACAAACTTTTTTTAAAAATAAATGATCGTTGCTCTCGTTTTGCATTGTCTTACACGTGACAACCACGTCTCACTCAACAAAGGATACCAATAAACAACTCTGGGCTTCTCGTGACACAGTGACACATACTGGTAGTGCTAAGGCAGCGTCAGATGGATCAACATTATTTTGGTGGAGTAATTATTACAAATTATCAATTTCCTAAACGCTATTCCTTAAATTATGTCTATAGATCTCCGGTATTAATCCACCTATACAGTACACTCTTTCCAATTCAACATATTTTGTTCATAAAACTGCCATTTATGATAATACATTTTTACCCAATGTAGAGGAGAGCTAAATAGGAAATATGCCGGGAGAATAGAGGAGACGTTATTTTGTGCCTGTGCTTAAAAATAAAGATGTGCAAGAATGTGGCAATTGCAGGGGTATAAATCGCATGGACCATGTAATGAAGCGCTGGGTGAGTGATAGAGGCACGATTACGAGAAGAAACGTAAGTAACAGAGAACTAGTTTAGATTCATGCCTGGACGGTCGACAGCAGATGCAATATTTGCTCTTGGAATGCCGATGAAAAACTACAGGGAGTTTCAGAAAATCTCCACATGATGTCTCTTGACTTAGAGAATGTATATGTCAGAGTGCCAAGGGATCTTATTTGGTGGGCACTAAGGAAAAAGAATGTTCCAAATACATATGTCAGGCTAATTCAAGATATATATATAGTATTTATAGTATATAATATATATATTATATATTATATATTATATGATTCTTGCACGACATCTGTGAAGTGGGCGTGTGGAAAAAACGAAGAGGTTACAGTCGAAGCGGGACTGCATCAAGGATCTAGTCTTAGTCCATACTTTTTGCCATAATTATGGATAAGCTTACGAAAGTTCGGGAGTCCTATTTGTGGATGACATTGTGCAGGTGAGTGAAAACAAAGAAGAACTGAACGAAAAATGAGAAATCTGGAGAGGTGCACTGGAGAGAAATGGACTTAGAGCTAGCAGAACCAAGATTAAGTACTTGCATTGTCCCTTCAGTACAAAAGTGAATGGAATCCCAGCAAGATGGCTGGACGAAGAAAAGGTGCTAACAAGACGGAGATTCAAATACCTGGGATCAGTACCGCCGCATACCAAAACGCCTGAAATGGAAGGTCCACAAAACTCTAGTGCGCCCTGTCATTTTGTACGGAGTACAGAAGTTGCACGTAGTGGAGATGAAGATGTCGTGGTGGATTTGAAGAGTGACGCGAAAGGACAAAATCAGGAATTAAGTGATCTGAGGTACCGTGAAGGTGTGGTCGACAATGTAAAAACTTCAAGAAAGGCGAACTCAGTGGTTTTGGTTATGAAAAGATCTCTAGAGCATGTGGCTCACTGAGTGGAATCAATAGAGAATGGGAAACGAGCATGGGGCTGCCCAAAGAAGAAGTGTAAAGGTTGTAGTAAGGAAGATATGTGTCAGAATGGTGTCACAGTGAATGTGGCACAAAATAGAAACAGCTGGAGAGTAGCGATCCGAAAAGCCGACCCTAACTAAATGGGGTAAGGTGTAGAAGAGGAAGAGTAGAGGAGAGCCAAAACATATCTCACCGTTTAGTTTTTCATAGAATTCTGTTCCTTTATTGTATCACTAAAATGTGCACTAGGTTTTGGTTATTTACTACTATTACAAATTTTCTGCACACGATTTTCATTATGATCAATAATTTGATAATCTATCGTGGTAACTGAAATAATGAGTAAACTAAGTCACACCATTTGTGTAGCCTTTCTTGCTTGAATTGCCAGAGTGCTCTGTGTAGGTGTATGCACGTGCCGTCGCGCGGGCGTGTGTGTGTGTGTGTGTAGGCGGGTGCGTGCGCGTGACTATGTGTGTCTATTAAAAAAAACTGCTTAATTGTAACTCCCAAACTCTTCTGTTCAGATCCCAAACTGCTGTTTCCAGATGGTGTCCGGAGTGCAGATCAAAAATCTGCAGGTGGATCCGTGCGAGTTGAATGTGGATTACCCAGTGACGGTGCACAACATGGTCGCCAAGTTTATTGGCAATAAGCTCGTCGTGGCAGGCGGCGCTACCGTCGCCCGCGACCTCGAGGCCCCCGTCACCTTGGCCATTCTCATGCGCCTGAACCTGATGGCCTTTAGGAAGGTCATAACGGTTCCATGCACTAATAACTTCGGCTCGTGCACCTACCAAGACATCTGTACCCTTCCTGAGAAGTTGGGTGAGAAATCCGCCATGGTGTGCGGCTTGTTGGAACGATTTGGATTTCCGTGCAAATGTCCTATTCCGAAGGTAAGACACTGTTCATCCATTTATGTAGGTTTCACATGAAAGTGTTTGCAACCAATGATGTTCTATACCTCAGGGTGCGTTAAGGGGTGCAATAATGCAATTCGGTCGATTAAATTTTTTTTCACTTATTTAAATCAAAACCTATTTCATATTTTTATCAAATTCTTCCAGAATGGAGCCATTACTTTAATTATTATTATAACGCATATATGTATGAATTAACAAACAGCACAATAGCAAGTGACAACCTGCAAGTAAAACAGAACATTTTAAAATCGCAGTAGCCTTTACAACTCAAAACATAAAACACATATATTTATTACCAGTGCTTGATTTATAAAATTTATGTCCCGGTACGCACCCCTAAATAATTAATTTAATATGAATAATTATATATTTATAATATATTTTAATAACTATTCCCGTGGTACCGAAACGCAATTCCGTCATGTTCCGCCAGAAATCAAGCCCTGTTTATTACAAACAAGTTCACAATATCTTCGAATAAGTTCTTTTCTAAATGGCGTGTTAATTACGCTGCATAATAATTTAACCATACGTAGAGGAAATATTTTTATTACTATAAAACTAATGACAGTTAACTTACAAATTACGAAAAAATAATATAATTTAAGGTTATTATAATTCATTTCGTATAAAAAGATATATTTTAATTATTTACACAAACATTAACACAAATTATTAATCTTAGTATAAATATTTCAAAAAATATTTATAAAAAATATTTACCTGATATAATCACATAACCTCATATGTGATCGCAAAACTGACATAACCTCGTATAATCCACAGAATTAGAGGAATACTGCCCCCCAAAAGTACATTTTTTGATATTTTCTTCATTTTTCGGTTTCCGTATGGTGGAACGGAAATATTATTTTTATGAATATTAAAGAACAATAAAACTTCATCCTAGAAGGCAATTTCTTTGCAAAATTTGCAGTCGTTTTTAAGAAAATAACGTTTAGGCACATGTGAATTCCAAATATGAACCTCCTTTTACAGAAAACTATTGCGTTTCGAAAACCTTCTTTTGAAGTTATTTACAGTACTATTAGTCACAAATTACAATAGTGTTTACAAATTCCTGAAAATGTGCATTTTAAAGGCGTGAGAGATCTTTTAAAACACTACATTTCTGTACTTTTTGAAAACAAAAAAATACCGCGAAATGAACTTTATGTCATGCTAAAGAGTGCACTTGTCACTATCCGATCGAAAACTTTGAAGAAAAAATTTGGAGCCGTTTTTGAGAAAACAATCGGCGTTTGAGCGTTTCTAAAATGCAAAATTTTGAGCTAGTTTTCACAGAAATCGGTTGAGTTTTTGAGAAATATAAGGTCTGTCCCAAAAGTAAGTTGAATGACTTTGCGCCGCCGAAGCAAGCCACTAGCAAGGGGCGCCAAGTGACGTGAATGGTTGTGTGGGGTTTAGGGTTTTTAATGATATAAGTATTTAAAGTGTTACGTTACATCATGTTGGTTAGCAGCGGCATTGCGGAAAGACTTTGTGCGGAAGATTGGTCCTCAAGGATAGCTCTTCCGTTGAAAGAAAGGCTGCTCGTTCACAGGATTTCGCTGACTCTTGGAGCATGTGAATAGTGATCCGAATTTTTTGGAATAATGCTTATT